CTCACTGCAAGCTCCGCCTCCCGGGTTCACGCCATTCTCCTGCCTCAGCCTCCCGAGTAGCTGGGACTACAGGCGCCCGCCACCGCGCCCGGCTAATTTTTTGTATTCTTTTTAGTAGAGATGGGGTTTCACCGTGTTAGCCAGGATGGTCTCGATATCCTGACCTCGTGAAAGTGAGTTCTAAGGTCAGGCCAGGCACAGTGGCTCATGCCTGTGATCCCAGCACTTTGGGAGGCTGAGGCAGGTGGATCACCTGAGGTCTGGAGTTCGAGACCAGTCTGGCCAACATGGTGGAACCCCGTCTCTACCAAAAATATAAAAAATTAGCCAGGCATGGCGATACACACCTGTAGCCCCAGCTACTTGGGAGGCTGAGGCAGGAGAATCGCTTGAACCCAGGAGGTGGAGGTTGCAGTGAGCCGAGATCATGCCACCGCACTCCAACCTGGGTGACAGAGTGAGACTATGTCTAGAAGAAAAAAAAAAGAAAAGAGTTCTAAAAGTCCCATTGAAAGTCTATTAGTCACAGTGCAAATTTATTTTAAAATTTCAAATATCATCAAAGAAAGTCATATGATTTTTATTCTTATGATTTATTCATGGATTTTAAGTTTGAGAAAATACTGTCATAAAAGATGATTTTAAAAATATATGTATTTCAAGCCTTTCGTTTTGCAGATGAGGAGACTGATGCCAAAGAGACAGAGTTAAGATACCAGTTAATGACATTTCCTTGGCCTTGGTCTCAGAGAATTAGGAAATACCAAGGAACCCAGGCCTGATTTCTGATTCTCATTAGAGGCAGGGCCAGTCCAGGAGGCCTGTGTTTATCCGTGCAGCAGGAGTTCACTGCATTCTCACTTCTTGCTGGTCCTGGATCTCCTCTGCTGAGTCTTCTGGTCATCTGCTATGTCACCTGCAGTCTGGAGAAGAGGTATTATCAAGGTGTGGAGCGTGTTTTTGCCTGAGGAGTAACCTTGAACAGTGCACATTGCTTTTACCTTAAAATGAAATTTGAAAGATAAGCTTATAAATGGGACAGGAATGTCCTGATAACTTGCTGGATTTGTCCTCTAAGAAATTTTGCCCAAAAAGGGGATGGGAAAGGGAGAGAGTTCACTGCTTGGGCAGAAAAGATGTGCATAGACAAGAATGATTGCCTGAGAGTCAATGGATATTGGTACCCATCAGACCCTTAGATTGGGTAGAACCTCTAAGGTTGTCAGAACTGTTTGAAATGAGGGCCTATCAGATTCACCCTGGAGCATTGCTTCCCTGGTGGGAGGGAATCCTGAGTGGACAAAGAGAGTTTCTGCTGTGGCTGCTACACTCCACACCTCCCCTGCAGCAGAAGGACACAAGCCAGGGCAGCAAACTGGCCCATGGGGTCCGTAGGACCTATGCCAAGATCCATTTCCATCCCAACACCCTTGGATTGTCTCTCTCTGGGAGACAATCTTCTTCTGCCAGAGAAGTTGGGGATCTGGACCTTTGAAAACCACAGAGCAATTTAAAATTACAATTTTAGAGAAACATTTAAAACGATGAAGCACCAACTATTTTTGTTGAGAGCCACTCTTTGCAAATGTGGAGGAAACATTTAGGGACACACACCTTCTTCTCTCCCTTTTCATAAGATGATTCATTTCTCCTAAATAGAGAGATGAGAAAGACTGGGTAGAAGGAGGCTGTGGATTGACATGAAAGACGAAACTTTTTTTAATTCAGAAAAATAGTTCATGTGTTTTCACACACATGTACATGTATGCACACACACACACACACATCCAATCCCCCTGAATATCCCAGTTTCCCCTGCCCCTTCCTTGCCCCCTCTCACTGGCTCCGTAGCCTCCTGTCCCAGAACAACCCCACCAGGCCTGCAGAGCCATCTCTGCAAAGGGCATGGCTGTCCTCTAGACTGTAATCCTGAGTCCAGAGGTCTGGTCAAAGATTGGGGGAACATCCGCACCTTGACCCCCAGGCCTGCCAGTGTTCCAGGACATTTGCTCACTCATACCCACTCACAATCTTATACGCACCCCGACTCCCCAACAGAGAGAACTACGAGGAAGGAGGGGGCAGCTTTTGCCATCACTAAGATAAAGAGGCACCAGGCAGCTCTGCTTGGTCCCAGGACTCGCCAGCCCCGCCATCATTCCCACCAATGAGACCCTTTCTTAACCACACCCAGGCCCCCATATTGCTGAGGCTGTTGATTCCTACAGACCAGACCAGAGGTCAGCTCACTTCTGTTCCTTTCTAAGGCCTTTCCAAGCAGAGGTGAAGTCTAGGCCCTCAATGCCCTTTCCCTGGACTCTTCTTCCAAGTTCAAAATCCTCAAGGAGCAAGAAAGAGGGCAGGTGGCTGCGTGTGTTCCAGAGGAGAGAGGCGAGGAGTTGCTGTGGAATGGGTTATGTGACAATGTTGTTAGTCTAACAATGCAAGGGTGTGGACGCTATCTGTGTAGAACAGAAGGAATGGCTTCAGGTGCTGCTCAGGATTCTTCTCTGGAAGAGGTCATAGCTGTGGTGAGAAGGTAATAATAGCATCTTGCCCACAGCCCTGAAAGCAGGCTCTACCTAAAGCATCAGGCATAAAACAGAAGTTCTCTCCTTCCTTTTACAAAAGAAATGGCTGCTTCCTGGTGAGCAAACCAGGGGTGACAGGGGGCAAGAAGGGCATCCTACAGAGACCATTCCTCTTACTTCTGGTGGTCAGTGACCCAGGAGGACCCAGAGAGCCTCATCCTCAGGCTCCTAGGCCTCGGTTCCCCACTCCTCCAATATTTCCAGGCCTGCTGAGTTAGGGCTCAGCTGCCTCCCTCTTCCCTCCGCTGGAAACAGAAGCTCCCAGCGAATGTTTCTAACTCCTGAGTCCACTCAGCCATGTCCCCCTTGCAAAATCCTCCCCTTCCCGCACCCCCCTGCACCCAGCCAGCCAATCCGCGGCCTGCGAGCCTCGCCAGACCCATCTCCCAGGGCCTCAGCGGGATAAAACCGGTTGGCGATGCCGGGTGGATGGGAACAAACTTCAGAAGGAGGAGAGACACGGGGCCCAGGGCACCCTCGCGGGCGGACCCAGGCAGTGAGGGCCTGCAGCCGGCCGGCCAGGTATGTCACCCAGGGGTTAGCTGGAAGCTGGCTGTAGTGAGGACCGGGAGATGGAAGAAGGGAGAGGGTCCCAGGAAGCCTGGCAACCTTTTCCCTCCCAAGTTAAACGGGATAAGACTGGGACAGCGGAGGGAGTGGGCACGCAGGTTGGAGTCTGGAGCTTCAGCGCACCCTCAATCTTTGATCCTCCCGGGAAGCCTGTTAGCTAGGCCGGGCTGAGGTTGGCCCTACTTCGCCTAAAAATCCTCCTACTCCTGGCAGACAATGCAGGTTGTAAAGGATAAGGCCTGGGGAGGGGGCCTGAGGATGCAGGCATCGAATCTCATCGCATCTCATGCCCTTCTCCTGGGTTTGTGCAGGGCAGCGGCAGGCGCGGCCCGGACCTGCGTGAGTAAGCCCAGAGCCCTCGGCGGGCTGCGAGCGACTCCCCGGCGATGCCTCACAACTCCATCAGATCTGGTAAGAACGCGGTGTGGTCAGGACCCCCAACCCCCGCGCAGCTGAGCGTCCGTGCGTGCGCTCGGGTCGCTGGATCTCGGGAGCGTATGCACGGGATTCTCGGGACCCACCCGCGTGGGGACCCAGCTGGGGGCGCCTGGGGCCTGGCCCTTCGCTGGAGCCGCCTCGTTGTTCTCGGGCACTGGGGTTCCACTCTGCCAGCTGAGCCGCCCTCCCCCGGTCTTGGTTTCGAGGGACCACACGGAACGGTGAGGGGATCTCTGTGGAGTTAGAGGGGGTTTCCTTTGAGCTCCATTCCCAGTCTTGCATGGCGCATTAGGGTGGACATTCTTCTTGCTCTGTCCCTGGGCTGCACCGGTGCTGGACTGGCCGTTTCCCCGTCCCCGACCTCTGAGCCCTCTTCCTCGGGTGCGCGCAGTCCTTCCCAGTGACTCCCCTGGCTGCACTGTGAGCTCCCCGCATCTCTCAAGCTAAAGGGAATAGAGCCGGTGGTCCCGGGCCTGGGAGCCGGCAGCGCACTCAGGTGCTCTCCGACTCCTCCTGGCCCAGCACTGGGCACGCAGGGAGCCGCGCGCTGGGCGTCCGGCTGGTGAGGACTAAGCTGCTCGCGGAGTCGAAACCCCCTCCCCACCTGCGCCCGGGAACAGGGCCTTCAAAAACACTCGAGCTCCCAGGCCGCGATGCCTGTTTTCCCCCTTCCCAGCCAGGGCTGGGCAGGGTCTTTGCTGGGAAGGAGCTCCAGGGTCGGGGCTGGTGGGTGCAGCCGTCCCCGCGCGCAGCGAGTGCGGACAGCGGCGGAGGATGGAGCCTGGCGGTGATGGATGGAGCCTGGCCAGCCGCAGAGAAGGCGATTTATGGGGCCAGGGCGCATCGCTATCGATTTGGGCCGGCGAAGTGAGAGGAAATCAATATTTCAGAATGAATTCTCCGCGAATATGAAGTCCCGCTCGACAAACGGGACATTTGTTATAATAAGGAGGGTCGGATCGGGCGCGGAGCGCGGCTGAGATCTCTATTTAGCCAAGCGCACGGCGGGGCCCGGGTTGTGCGGCGCAGTCTCCAGTCCCAGGGCCAAGGCTCGACTAGGAGGGGAGCGGGAACCCCCTGGGGCGCCGAAAGATTTTTTACTTGGGTTCTCTCTAGAGCTGCAGACGAAGTCAGCAGAATGCTCCCTCCCTGCCCCCATTCCCCTCAGAGAGCTGGGCCAGAATAGTCCGGCTGCCCCCAGAAGGCGCGGGGTCCCTTCAGGGGCCTCAGGGTAGAGACCTCGCAGCCATTCCCCTGCTCAGCCAGGTTGGCGAGACCTGGGACCGAGTAGAGCTGCCTGGCACCTCTTTACGGTCCGCGCCCTGGAACCACGAGCGCTCCTAGGCCACTTTCTAAGGTCAGGATCAGGTTTTAGCCCCTTAGTCTTTAGCCAAACCGTGGTACAATACCACACATCACCAGGACCATCCTCGAGGCCGAATATGCAGTGCCCGGTGCCCGATCCCATGCCAGGCTGGTCCGTGGCACTCTGCTCGGCTCTGGAGGTCCATCTTTCCTCCTGACCTTCCCCTGACCCTTCCGGCGGTGGCAGGAGGAGTGGATGCTCTCAGAAGTCAAATTTACTGGGCAGGGCTGGACCCTTACTCTCTGTCACTGCCCAAGAAATGAGACGATGTCCCCGTCCCTCAGATGAGCTTTTTTTTTTTTTTCTTTTTTTCCGGCTACTTATTTTCATTCTAGAAGTACTCATTAGAATAAATGGGACTAGAGTATGGAAAGAAAAAAAAAGGCACAATTTATTTTTACTGTAGTTTTAATCAGTATCAGTCCCAAATGATGAGATGCGTGCTTTCCCATTAGCTCCGATGCAAATCGCGCTTGGGTTTTGGGAGGGAGCCCTCTGCCCCTGGACCTACCAGGTAATTTTTTCCCCTGTCTTCTTTTCGGAAAGACAGAGGGGCTTCTTCTACCTTCTTTCCAAAACAAATAAACAACGCGGCAAGGGAGGATGAGACTTTCTTCTTTAGTTTAATTTAAATGCTAATAAAACAAGAAAACAGCCTGTAACATCACAGACTGTTGAAGGCGCTCCCCGTTTCTTTTCTGAACCCTCCCTTTGGCAAACCTGAGGGAGAGGCCCTCCGTCTTTCTTATCAGTTTACCTGACACTGTTGTCTATAATTGGAGCTAAATTCATAAGCGGACACCTCTTGTTTTTACAAGCCCATTTTCTCTCAGGTTTTAGCAGCTTCCCCCTTTTCCCCAGGCACCTCCATTTCTGAGTTCGGCAGTGCTTAGGAAGCTCCCCTGTAAGTTTTCTTTGAGCAGAGCCCGGGACGCAGGCAGCGACACGGCTTTTCGCGGGAGCGAGGCCGAGCGCACCCTTCCCAATAACCCGAGACGCTCAAGAAAAGTTTCGTGCGCGGCCTTCGCCGCCCAGCCTGCCACGGCTCACTCTCGCCTCGTCGTTGACTGGTCTTGCCTCACAGAGAGTCTTAACATTGTCTTTCCGACAGATTTATTCTGAAGGAATGTTGAACGCGAATCATTCTAATGTGCGCAGGTCAGCGATGGGCTGAACGTTCCTTAAAATCGTTATTTTTGTTGCATCAGGGACGAAATTCTCTAAAGCAAAAACATTTTTTAAAAAAAATTCGAAGATGCAGAAGAAATGATAAATGCCCCAGTGAGAACAATACTGCACCAGCGAGGAAGAGTTTTGTAAAACCAAGTAGGCTGTCATTAAAAGTTGTCTTAAATAACTTGTCGCAGCCCACTCCCACTGGTCGTGAAAATAGTTCATTCAAGTGGTAAAATTAGACAAGGCAGAGGACGATGTCTCTAACTTCCCTGATCTGAGATCTAAAGCCCCATTCCTTCCTCTTGGTTTTAGAATTGAGGAAAGGGGAGCAAATGCATTTGGAAAGGATCTGTTTTCTTCCCAGGTTTCCTGCCTGGGTTGAAAATAAGGTTTCAGGGAAGGGAAGCAGCTTTGAGGAACATAAAGAGGTATTGGGGTTCATCAATTCATCTTTGTTTCAAGACGGTCTATCCCCCCCACCCTCCTCAATGCAAGTTAATTAGGAGATAATTTAGCTACCTTGTGAATTAGTTTTAAGATAAGTATCTTTTTAAGCTTTGTCACTTTAATTGCCCCACTGATTGATAAGAAGTAATTATTTCTAATTGACACTTTTTTGATGTCTATTGGAAGCATTTATTTGGAACTTTTTGGGGGTGGAAGGAAAGTTAATTAATGTCATCAGTCTACCCCCAAAAGGACTCTGCCTAATTTTGTTGAAGAAGACAAAGGAAGTGAAGGAAACCAAATAAAAAATCAATCTCATGGAATTTTAATTATTAAGGGACACTGTGGTTCAAATTAGAGGGCATCTACTAATATAATATGTCAAAAGGTTCTATTTATGGCCTCAAATCTCTAATTTATTGAGATGCATTTTATAGGTATTCATTTTCCTATGGATACACTCAAAGGCCCTTTATATGCTGCCTTCATTTTGGAGCAGGTTCCTCTGCTGTGTAAATAATTTTTGTGAAAAGTAAAATCTGTCGACCTTGGTATGCCCAGAAAAAATGAAATCATTTTTGTAAGAGCCAATTGTAAGCAAGATTTACTAATAGTCATCCTTGTTCTGTAATTATTGATGGAGTTGGGTATAAAGGTGAAACTTTACTTACAGTGACATGCCTTTTCATACCTAAACTTTGGAGTAAACAGTTTAATCATTCACATCCTCCAGAACATTTTGCTGTGAGAGAGAAAGGAGTGAAAGAATAAAGAGAAAAAGAAAGACACTGAAAGGAGGCGATGGGGGTGGAGAGGAAAGAAAGGGAGAAGGTAGCTGGAGAGAATAAAATGAAAGCATTTATTTCAGAAATGAAGATAGCCAGGTGCGTGGAACCTTTGCCATTCAGTATAAGAAAATCGAAATCCTGCTTTAAAAACACATTTTTGTTAATAGCAAATCTCTACCACAGTCTCTAAGCAACCCCTAACCACCATGGGATACCCCTACTTTTCTACACATTTTTTTAAAAGGCAGAATTTTAGGAAGCTGGCAGATCCGGATTTTGGATATCTGGCTGTCAAAGTCTTTATTTGGGGTTATGAAAAGGAAGCAAGAAAACACACATTGTGCTCTGGGATTTATAGATTCGAGTGTTGTTTATATTTATTTCGTTATTAAAGTCCCTGTGATCCTCATCTCTATTTTGTATGCACAATCTTTTCATAGATCGACTTGTGACTTACTGATATAGGAAAGCATTCCCACATTAACCCAAAGGAGACACATACACACATGCACACACACGCACGCCTGGAATGAGAGAAACACAATCACACAGGATGCGTTCCTATCAGGTTGATTTCAGCCAGTGCCTTTTTCAACCACTTATTATAAAATCTTGTCTGCTGTTATTGATGTTTCTCCCAGATTATGGGGAGCTGCAAGAATGAGGAAATATTTCAAATGAAAAATAAATTTAAGACGTACAAACATCAGATAATATCACATACCAACCTCACTATTAGTGAAATTGAAAGAATATATAAATAATGCAAAAAAAAAATCAGCAAGGGAGAGTTTAGTAATGGAAAATTCCCCTGCAATTAAAGGAAACGGTAATTTAGTGAAGATATGCCTGAATGAATTACCATTTATTAATTGGTTCTCATAAAAACAATTTGTGTGTGTGGCTTGGGGAGGGGGATGTTTAAAGTATATATTGTCCATAGATAAAGCTCCTCAAATATTCATATCAAATTATGTTGTCATCACATTCTATTTTGTGAAAAATCCCAAGTCTCTCACTGGCAAGTTTCACCTGTATGCACAGAGCTTGAATGCAAAGGAAAGGCGTCCCATCCAGATCAGAAAGAATAAAACCGGTTCCCGCTTCTCTTGGTACATTTCCAAATCTGAAACGAATGAGGAACACACTGGCAGAGTCTTGTATGCTTAGGAACATCCAAACCGGGCCCCAAGAAG